CCCCCCCATTTTTTTAAGTTATGCTTTTCCATCTGTCTATTTTAGGTGATAATATATCTTTAAATCCCTCTGTTCACTGAGGAGTTTATTGTCTCTGGAACCAATTTCCTGGGCACTGATCCCTGCCCTGAGCCTTGTGGTGTCTGTGTGGACGTGAAAAAGGAGAGAGTGTTTGGATCGCACAATCTTAGCTGCAATCTTGACTTTGGGGGCAACCCTTGCAGATGCTCCTGAGCACCATTGTTCCATTGCTTTTGAGCCACAGTGGCTCAGTGTTTCGAGTGCAGTACTGCAGGCTACTTCTGCTGAGTGCCAGCTGCCTTCAATTTGGCAGTTCAAATCTGATCAGGTTCAAGGTTGCCTCAGTCTTCCATCCTTCCGAGGTGGGTAAAATGAGGATCCAGATTGTTGGGGGCAAATAGGCTGACTCTGTAAACCGCTTAGAGAGGGCTGGAAAGCCCTGTAAAGCAGTATATAAGTCTAAGTGCTATTGCTATCTTCCTTCCTTCCTTCCCCTTCCCTTCACTTCCCTTCCTCTGCACACTGATTAGAATGCAGTATTGCAGGCTAATTCTACCCACTGCCAATAGTTTGAATCTCACCAGGCTGAAGGTTGACTCAGCCTTCCATCCTTCAGAGGTGGGTAAAATGAGGACCCAGATTGTTGTAAATTGCTTAGAGGGGGCTGTAAAGCCCTGTGAAGCGGTATATAAGTCTACGTGCTATGGCTTTCAGCTGGAGGTAGTTGTGACTGAGTCATTCAGCAGAGCCTCCCCAAAGATCTGAAAAACCAGCTGGGTCCTTTCATGTGGGCAGAAGCCTTCGGGAACAGGACAGCCTGCGAGCAATTAACTCTCATTGTGGTTGTCTCACATGGCTCTTGTGTTGGGAAGGCAGCATGAAGGGACCATTTCCAAAGGGAGGAAGAAGCGCATTGCTATCCTGTCATCTCTAGTCCTTCTCTTCGTTAGACATGACATACTCAATCTCCCTGCAACCGTTCTTCATACATTTTATCTCCCTAACCATTTTTGTTGCTCTTTTCGGCACTCTTTCTCTTTCTCTGCTTCAACATCTTTTTTGTATTGTGGTGACCCACATTTGGAAGAGTTGAAGTCCACGTATCTTAAAAGTTGCTAAGGTTGAAAAACACATTTTTTGAGATTTCCTAAAACAGATCTATATCTATGAAAGGAGATAGAGATATATCTCACCACTTCTCCATTGCAAACATTCTTCTTGATCCAATTTTAAGATAGCGTGACTTGTCTGGGCCCAACCCAGCCTTTGGCAGACTCTTTTGAGGCATTTCAAGGGGCTCAGATGCCTTCCCCCCAAAACAGCTGCCCGCCTCCCATTCACTCTTCAGTTCCCTCGGCCTTTCCCCTCCACGTCCAGTGATTTATGCCAGGTCCCCTTTGGGTTAACAAGCCATCTCTTTCTTAGAAGCCTTTCCTAGGGGAAAAAAAGGATCAAAAGTCAACAGATATGGGAAAGAGACCCCTTTGGAGCTGGCGAGGGGTGGGGAAGGGTGGCCTTCCTTTTTTAATACCCCCCCCCCTCAGTTATGGAAGGAAAGGGAAGAGAAGATAAAAAGGAAGGGAAGAAAAGAGAGAAAATAAAGAGAAGAGAAAAGAAGAGAGAATGGAAGGGAAGAGAAATTAAGAGAAGAGAAGAAAGAAGGGAAGGGAAGGGAAGGGAAAGAAGAGAAGATAGAAGATAAGGGAGGGGAAGAAAAGAGAAGAGAAGCTGGAAGATCTTTTAGTCCAGCTCCCTGTTCAAGCAGGAGAATCATTTTCCAGTGATGGAACCCCCCCCCCCACAACTTCTGGTGGCCAGCTGTTCCTCTGGTTAATTCTCCTCACTGA